TGCACTCCAGTCTGGGTGACAGAGTGAGACTCCAACTCAAAAAAAAAAATAAAAAAAAAACCAAAAAGAAGTGGCCATCTTTAGAAGACTGGTGTAGCTTAAGCATGTGGTTCCTTAGTCCTCAGGCAGCTGCAGTCGTTCCATATATCACATTATGTAACCCATTTCTGTTTCCCATTGAAGAGAAAATGAGGCACAGGATGTGCAGTGATCTAATATTAGGCGCTTCCTTCACTTCAATCTTGAGGGACAGAGAAGAAAAACATGTTTCAAGCTTCGTAGCATGATTTCAAGAACTTGAGAGTGCTGTGATAGTAGTCTCGGCACACTGGAGAAGCCAATGCCTTAGCCTGACTTGGATAGATAAAAGAAATTGAAGGTTGTGATGAAGGCTTGTTTTGATTAACCACACATGAGATATGTATGAATCCTCCCTTTGGTAATGTTCTTGAGGTGAATATTAGCATAGTTCTAAAAATAACCTTCCCTTTTAAAACCTGATGCCACAGTCACTTGCAGGGTTTTGTCACATGCTAGAAGTTTTGTCACATGCTGATTTACAGGACATCTAGTTTCCAGAAACTCCTTATCAGAAAGCAGATACCAATCTTCATTTGTCAGTGCTTTAATTTTGACATGAAACCATTCAAGAGCACAGTGTATTTCAAAGTCTCTTGGCGTTCCATTCTCAAACAATGTCACAGAAACAAGAAGATAAACGAAAGGTAACTTCAAGAGAGCCAAGTTTCCAGGCTGGTCTCAAACCTGTGGGCTCAGGCAATCCTCTTATCTTGGCCTCCGAAAGTGCTGGGATTATAGGTGTGAGCCCCCGAACCTGGACTTCCTTTTTTTTTTTTTTTAAAAACAAGGTCCTAGCCAGGCTCAGTGGCTCAGCCTGTAATCCCGCGCTTTGAGAGGCTGAGGTGAGTGGATTGCGTGAGACCGCAGGTTCAAGACCCGCCTGGGCAACTTGGCGAGACCTCATCTCTACAATAAATCAAAAAATCAGCTGGGCATGGTTGCATGTGCCTGTAATTCCAGCTACTTGGAAGGCTGAGGCAGAAGGATTGCTAGAGCTAAGTGGGTCAAGGCTGCGGTGGCCGGGAGCGGCCACTGCACTCCAGTCTGGGCGACAGAGTGAGACCCCAACTCAAAAAAAGAAAAGAAACAAGGTCTTGCTCTGTTTTTCCCGAGTGATCCTCCTGTCTCAGCCTCCTTTGTAGCTGGGTCTGTGGGCACATGCCACCTTGCCAGGATCGTTGTTAAATTTTTGTTGATTGTTTTGTAGAGATGGGAATCTTATTATCTTACCCAGACTGGTTTCAAACTCCTGGCCTCAAGTGATCCCCCCCGCCTTTGCCTCCCAAAGTGCTAGGATTATAAGCATGAGCCACTGCGCCTTGTTGCTTGCTAAGGTGTTGAGTAGAGTTTTTTTACAATCTCAAGTGGGTGGTGAGTTCCTTTACTGGGAGCCAGTGAAAGGATAGGTGTCCATTATTTTGCTATGAAGGGAATCAACTAAGACACATGATAATTGAACCATTTCATACTTGAAGTTAGTTTTTAATTGATCACCTTTCCTACCCTGATACTAGTTAAAATTAGACAGCAGTTACAGTCAGTGCACAACTAGTTGGGCTAGTTTGAGTACTACCTTCCTGAGAAGGAAGGAACCTGGGCCAAGTTCAAAACCCCTTGTCCATGGTCACACTCTCAGGATCTGTTCTTGTAGCAGGAAGGTCTGCAATGTATTTCTTAACACTAATACGTTTTATGGAGTTCCTGAATTCAATGGGCACGGTTTTCTGACAAGGTGTGTCTGGTTCCTTAAACTCAGGCTGTGTTGTCACGTCTGAGATGGAGCTGCTCTCCAGATTGGGCCATCCTACTTCATTCCTTTTTTTTTTTTCCTTAACAGTTTTTTTTTGAGTTGGAGTCTCACTCTGTCGCTCAGACTGGAGTGCGGTGGCTGCTCCCGGCCACTGCAGCCTCACCTGCTGGCTCTGGTGATCCTTCCACCTTAGCCTTCCGAGTAGCTGGAACTACAGGCGCGTGCTACCATGCCCGGCTAATTTTTTGATTTATTGTAGAGATGCGGTCTCGCCAAGTTGCCCAGGCGGGTC